TTACTATGACTCTGTAAACTGAATTGTCTTTCTGCATACCCTAGTAAGCACATATGCAAGTGAACAGGAGGAGTAGGTGAGAACAAAGTCTCATAGGCAGGAGTTAACTAGATGAAAAAACAGGCAACCTTATCCTTTAGGTCTGCTCCCAAGGTAAAGAAACTTGTGTGCAGACATAATGCTACTAAGTATCGAAGCTCTACTCCAGACGCTTGATGAAAATACAGCAGGGGAATATTGAAAAACAGAAATGTCTGTTGTGTGCCTGCCTTCCACAGATTTTCAATAACACTTAAGAGCTTAACATCTTTTATGCTTTTGAAACCATTCTTAACAAAATAACATTATACCTTTCACAAATCTATCTCTTCCTGGGACACCTTGACCTAGATCAATACACTCCTGTTAACTGTTATTATGTCCTGTTCACAGGTCCTCCATCAGTACCTTGTTGAAATGTGAGTTTTCAATGTGACAGGCCTTTCTGAATTAATTTTCAAGTATGATTTTAAGAAATAATGTGTCAAATGGATTATAAAAATCCCTGTACTATAACACCTATTTAATTTTCTTTATTCACTGCTTGTTTTGTTCAGTCCAAGAATTCTAGCTTGCTTTGCATAATTTAACAGAAATTTTTGGGGGTATTCTTAAAAAAGAAATGTTCCAAAATGGATATACATGTGCAACATCATCATCTTCTAACACTTGTACCATGAACATTGTCACTGTGCGAAATGGGTGTGTAATAATTTTAGCATCATTTTAAATTCTTGATATTGATGTGACATACCAGTTTCCAACCTTCATAGTTTTCCATTACATGCCCACAAAAAAAATGATTTAAACTATATACTCAAGTTCTGTGTTGTCTTTTCCAGCTTTCTTCCTCGTTTGCATTATCAAATCTATTTTTTCTTCCACATGTACAACTGTAGTCCTCTTCAGTTCAACTACATGGCATATAGCATCTATTGAATCACTTCTTACAGTGTGTTGTGCTACTTACAGTGAATCAAGAAATTGCACAAGTAATCTTCAGGGTTGTTTCCTCAGATGGTCTCTCTTTGCAGTCACTTATTAAATGAAAATTGATTTTCTCATATTCATGTAAGAAATCAGAACCTTCAGACAATGTCAATCTATTATGAACCATATGCAGTAGGACTGGGCAGCACTGTATCAAATTGTCTGGTTTAGCAGATGAATGAGATTTAGTTGCTTAACACAGGCAGCTAGTGAACTAGCATATCCTGCATGGCTTCCAGCTGCCACCCCACAACGACACTGGTCTATAGGTTCTGTGTCATTTATGCTCACCCTATGCAAGATGTCTTCAACACCCTTAGGTATCTGAATGCACTAAAATGATAAATTGAGGAAACTAAGTCCCATTTAGAATGTTTATCTGTTATGCTAAGAATTGTCAAAACACAAAAAGACCCAATACTACCATTACTAATATGAATGTGGTTTAACTTTTCTTGTTCCCTTTTTGTCAATCTCAGTTTATTAATGTACTAATTCTTAACACGTTAATTTCTTAGAACAGTTACAATGCTATTTCAGTATTTGGAAAGACCTACCTAAATGTAAATGGTGACTAAGGTGCTAAACAACAGTAACAAAATCTAGTATCAGCCTCTTCACATCCATTCTTTGATGGGCCTGTAATTTTCCCCACGCAGAGACCTGAATCATCCATTATAGATATCAACTGTCTATGCCCTAGGCCTTCCATTTTTAAAACTCAGGTTCTTTTTTTTGTTTTTGAGGAGACTGATGAGAAACTTACCGCCATATAAAAATGTAATTTTTACTGATGTACTGCAAAATTATAGAATTTGGAAAGAATTTCAAATTAAAGTATTTTTTTATCAGGACCAACTTAATAATTTAGGCATTCCTTAAAATGCAGTTTTGTATACACTTGAATTTTTTAAATGTCCACAGTTTATTGGGTGGGTTCACACTATGACATAAAAGTCAATGAATGTATTCCATAAAACCATGAAATAGATGATTGGAAACATTATTATTGCCTGGGGTAGGATCTGCTTTTGTTTACTTACTCAAAGTGACAGTTCAGACCTCAAATGGATCAAAATATAGCTCATTTTACAGTGAACTAACTGTTTTTAAATACAGATTAACCCATATCACCAAAAAAAAAAATATTCCTAAGCATTAATCAGTAAACCAGTTTTACCTCACTGAATCTAAGTCTGTCCTCTCCCTAAGTTAGCATAGTAAGATGGGACTGAATGCTAGAAGCAACCTCCCAATATGAATATGAGTTAAGAAAAAGGAATCCTGAAAGAAAAGATATCTCTAGAAATCTTATCTATCTGAAAATTGAGTTTATTTATTTGTACAGGAATTGCAGCATCATTAAAATAGACCACGCAGACTACCTGAGGCTATTATAATTCCCCATTAAAATCTGAAAATATATGTTCTGAAAGAGAAGAACAAAATCTATGTTTCCCTATTTTCTTCCATGGAATTATTTGAGATACTAACAAATTACAATTTCAACTTAGACATTTTACTCCAAGTTATTCTTGGAGTAAACTGTGGTCTCTTTTCAGGCAGCGTGACTCACTGAACATCAGTAGAACCAGTATTCAGCATTCAGGACAGAGGGAGGCACCTAATCTCTTCAAGGTGGTTCTTCAAGTTTCTGCCAGCTCCTTTCAACATGAAGTTTACAAAAATCACAAAACCTTTGCTAGCATGTTGGATTTAGGACTTGAAGATTTGTTATTTGCCACAAAGAAATGTATTTTGATAAGGATCATGGAGAATAGAATAGGTGGGTTTCAGTACATTGGTACCACAAAGGAGTGCACAGCTTTGAGAAGACTGTACTAGTTGAAGCAGTACTAATATGCAAGAGAACTTGCATATTACGAAGCAATAGCATGGCCCCACTCTATTTAGTTCTTCAACTTCATGAGGATTTTATTTCTATTTAGCTTCCTCAGTGCATGAAGGACTTAAGACATGGGGCCATGAAGACCATCCCACCACTCTACTTGTAAGCTTGCCTTGAGCTACTATTCTTTTCTAACACAAGAATTAGAAACATGACTTTTAACCTCTTTGAGACTTAAGACATTCAACCCACATGCTAACTTGCTCAGAAATTAACAGAAAGAAATCTAATTCCAGTATTGCAATGATGACCCATTTGTAAATTATGATACCTTTTGTAAACAATTAGAACAATGCAAACTCTGTTCAGAGCATAAAAATCTCTTGAAAGCCATGGAAATAAACAACAGGTTGAATCTAGGTCTTGGGGTAGAAATCTATAGAGTGTACACTGAAGCACATGGCTATGACATGTCAAGAATTGGTATTTTCTCTCATAATTAATGCTAGTACTATTTGGAAGAATATGAAATTAATAAAAAAATATTAGAAGGCTTAGTTAAAGCACTGGACCATGACTAGGGCTGATCCTGTAGATACGCAGTTACATTAGAATGAGTTGTTAATTATGAGCAACCTAGTCCTGGCAGTTCATATGTACAGTCACACATCCAAATTTCATGACTTTTTGATTTTAACAATACCTGCAGGAGATATTCTGCAGAGGGTGTTCATGTTCTACCCTTTCTCAACTTGATATATAAATATAAAAGGTAGAACACAAACTTTTCAACATATAAAAGGTATTTCAGACTGGCTTCTAATTATGTAGTAGTGGTCTCAGAAAACTTTATTCAAATAGCAATTTCAGGACCACCCTACTGAGACCTGAGTTAGTTTTAGAGGACTTTGTCATACATAATGCTTGATGAAGCAATGGTCTCGGAGCTCATGAAGCTCTAACTGGCTGACAGCAGGAGTTGAGAATACAGATGGTTCTTAGTGACAATAAGGATAGTGATTTTCTTAAACCAGATTTCTAGAAATCCAACAAGAAATTCAGAGTGAGCATGGCTGAGGATGATCTGCAAGAGAATCAGGCTGAGTTAATGATCTGTTTTGCCCATAAGTGTATTTGTGAGAGCCCTTTCTGCTGCTGCTAAGATCTCTCACAAGGCAGTGGCAGGCATGCCATCATGAAGAGGGCCACACAGAAAAAGAGAAGACAGAGAAGACGTTAGGACTCACAATTGTGCATGCATATGGACTTTGAAGCAAGGATGTACTCCTGGTCCCATAGCTTAAAAATAGCCAAAGATTCTGATTCCCCAGCAGTATTGGCTATGAATGATGGAAAATTCAGGATCATAACTTCCTGCTTGTTTCTAAAAGCTATTCTTTGGATTGGGATGAGTGGATACACCAGCCTCCTGAAAAATATCCTCTGTAATCTTGGTCTGTATGTAGTGTTCCTGTTACAGTTAGGACAGTGAGGGAATTTGGTAGATGAACTGCTGACAAGTAGATTTAATGTATCTGTTTCATAAGTTGACCACTTCTGACAAAGGGGAAGAGGGAAACTTAATTTGGCATGGCATGCATGTCTGCATCATTCCACTGCTCTAATTTGGTGCTGCTTAAAAGCTTATTTTGGTGGATATTGTGTCTTGGAATGACACAGAACTAGAACTGTCAGGATGTCAAAAAACTTCCAAAAACAGCTTAAACAAATAAAATCAGCTGACCTGTGGAGATGTGAAATGCACATTTAGAAACACTCAGAGCTGGAATGTAGGTGAGGCTAAGTACAGGAATGCCAGGGTTATGTGAATATCCTACAACAACAACATGAATATCACCAATAAGGACATTTATAAATAACAGTATTTTTATTTTTAAGATACTCTGAATTTCTAAACCTCCTAAAATATTAACTCAGGACTTCCAAATTCACTAAGGTAGGTAGCTAAGGATTGTTAATCTTATTTTTACTGCTGGGGAAACTGAGGCAGAGAGGTTCAGTGACTTACCCAAGGCCACAGAGGGAGTCACTGTCAGAGCCGGGATTAGAGCTCAGGAGTTTCTGGCTCCCAGTCCCAAGCTCAGACCACTAGACCATGGCCTCAGGACATTTCCAGCTGGTCTTCAGTCTAAAAAAAAGTAAATTCTCAAGTATGTTACAGATATGTAACATATATATATTTCTTTTTACTTTGAATGTAATAGTATGAATGAGAACACATTGCTTGTAAGTCAGTGATGAAAAGCAAACCAGTACATTTTATCTGAGTTACCTTTATCATACATGTGTGTATGATAAAGCTCTGCAGAAAAATCTTGATTTAAATTGCAGCCAATACAAACAGCTATTGTATTTTTCAGGGTAAGGAACAAATTGCCTTTCCAACCCAGCCAGCATGTCATTTATATTAATGGTGAGGAATGCTAAGTTGCTCTGTGTGTAAGTAAACTCTATTAAGAAAGTCACGTCCCTTGGTGAAGCTAGATCCTTAGTAAATTTTACTAGCTAAGCACTGAGCTCCATGTCAGAGTAATTACACCTTTTATCCGCTGTGAGCTCTCTCTTAGCTTCTTCATACTCCTTAATTTCCCACTCCAGCTAATTTAGCAAAGGTTTTAAAAGGTTAGCTACTGAGGAACTGGCGCATGAATGTTCTGTTAAGCTCCATGCGTTGAAATCACATCATGTAGAAGAAGGAATTAATTAAGTAACAATTAGGTAGTGATGGATCATTGACAACATATATACAGTTTGGTGCTAAAATTAATCTCCCCTGTAAATCCAATACTTTGTGTATCTTCTCATCTGTACGCTGGCAAGTTTTATACTTGAACTATAAAATGGACAGGCCCTTCAGCAAGATCTTAAAAAAAAGGCGTATCTTCTGGCACTATTGAAACTACATACTATTTTAAAAAATCATATAGCTTCATTTTTTTTTAAAGAATTGAAAGAGTAATGAGAATAGCAAAAGGAGAAGAAAATTTTAAGGCAGGTGATTTTAAAGTGACTGTAAGTACATTTGTTATATGAAAGTACTTAGTATGTTGGAAGTGCTAACAATTGTGTAGTATTCTCTTGCTATCTTCTTTTACAAGTTGCCATATTGTTTCCTTGTATTGACAGTCAGTTGCTTAATACATAGATTGGCAGTTAGCCCAGTCAATCTTCAATTCTAAAAGCCTCTTAGCAGATAAAAAATCTTTGGTTCATTCACACCTTGTAGAAAGGATGACAGGGCAGAAGTGACATCTAGATCCATTTAGAGTGTACTTTGATTTTCCTTTGCCTTGCACCTTGTGTAGTCATTTATAGCTGTGCAAAGTGAGCACAAAATGGATATAAAACACTGCTACCCATGTGAGGAGAGAATTCTGATTTGGTTGCATTATTTCCAGAGGTGATCAACAAAAAGTGCAGGCAGTGAAAAAATGTGGCTCTGCATAGGAAGTCTAAACAATTTTGACACAAAGCACAAAATGATATAAAACACTGCTACCCATGTGAGGAGAGAATTCTGATTTGGTTGCAATATTTCCAGAGGTGATCACAAAAAGTGCCAGGCAGTGAAAAAATGTGGCTCTGCATAGGAAGTCTACTCTTAGCAGATAAAAAATCTTTGGTTCATTCACACCTTGTAGAAAGGATGACAGGGCAGAAGTGACATCTAGATCCATTTAGAGTGTACTTTGATTTTCCTTTGCCTTGCACCTTGTGTAGTCATTTATAGCTGTGCAAAGTGAGCACAAAATGGATATAAAACACTGCTACCCATGTGAGGAGAGAATTCTGATTTGGTTGCATTATTTCCAGAGGTGATCACAAAAAGTGCCAGGCAGTGAAAAAATGTGGCTCTGCATAGGAAGTCTAAACAATTTTGACACAAAGCACAAAGTAGCGGCAGCACTTTCCAAACAATTTACAGAAATTGCACTTTTGCTTTGGAGCAATGGGTATTTTCATTTGCTGTTTGGTATTTTCATAGAAAAAATATTAGATGTTAAACTAATCTACAGAAAACAAATCCTATTTCTTCCTTTTTTTGGTAGAAACATATTTAACTGTGAGTCCTAAACTATATTCTCACAGAAGAAAGAACTCATACCCTACATAAGATCTCCACTAGTTCTACCTTTCCATGTGCTACTTCTAAACCCAGTACTTAAAAAGTTACACTTCTACACAACCTCCTGGAATCAATGCGAAGTCTCAGTCCATCAGAGTTCAATACTGTTCTGGCTTTAGTATGAGTAGCAAATTATTGTCTCAGCATTTACCAAACAGTAATATCTCTGCTAAATGATCTACCACTGCTATGATAATGAAAGACCTATTGCTAAGTATCTTCAAGATACAAACTAATATTAGCAGGAAAGGATGGCAAATATTAGATTAACAGATGTGTGTTAACAAAATTGATAGTTAACAAATTAAGGACCCAATCTGGCTGTCACTGGAGATGTGGTCAAGAATTATTTCTACTTAACAACAGACATTTAGTGTATAATAATTAATTCAATATGTTTGGACATTTATTTCCCCATACTACCTGGTGGCCATTTTTCTGGCCCTTCCCAGCCAGAAATCCTTCCCGTTACACTTAGATGCCATGATGGGCCTGGCAACTCAGGTGTGTTGATTAGGAACAGAAATAGAAATTACTTCACTACATCAGCAGCTGTTGACCTAAGAGTACTGCTACAGTAAATAATGTCTCTTGGTATTTCTAATAGAAAACTTCTTTTCTTTTAATCACAGTCATGCACTTCATAGAGTCATCCTAAGACATAGTTCCCAAACCTATTACCACTGTCCAAAGCTTCCCTTACCCTTCAACCAAGTGGCTAAAGAACAAATGAACACTTTTTTTTATTCTTAATGTTTTAGTAATACTGTATTATAGATTTATAGGGGTTTCTTCGGCTTTTTCTTTTCTTTTCTTTTTTTTCCTTTTCTTTTTTCCCCCTTCCCCTTCTGGATTCAGAGCTTCTTTAAGTATTCTGAGTTGCTAGTCTGGCTTGACTGAAAAGTACAGTGTGTTTGTTGTGTGTCTGCATGTGTGATGCCAACTGTTGAAGACTGCTTGATGTTAGATGAGGGCTTATGCTCAGAGCTGTTCTACAGTTGGCTCTCTGGCAGAATCTCTCCTCACCAATGATAATGATGTCTCTGTGTGGGGAAGAGTCTGTTTTATAATATTACACTTGCCATGGCCTTAATTTTACTGATGGGGCATGATTATGATTTCATTTACGTTAATCAAAATCATGAGTCATTCCAGTCATGTCAATAGCATTGAAGAGCTATACAGACAAGTGAGAGTTCAGAATCAGGCTTCTGGTGTTTAATCTGAAAGGATATCTGAATCGCTTCATTAAAGATAGATACTGAAGGATAGATCCTCTGCTTACTTTGCATTACTCAGTCATGCCATTAGCATAAAACATCAAATAAAGAACTATAATGACAGCTGGCAATGTGTCACAGTGCATGGGTTTTCTGTTTACCTTGGGTGCAGAAAATACCCCTGAATTAACAAGATTTAAGATAATATTTCAAGTATGACAAAGTGACCGTATTAGGTCTCCTTGCCCTTGGAAGTTGGCATTAATGTTTCAAAAACTTATTTCGTTCCTTTGGTTTTTTATGTCACTCTTACATAACTTGAATGCAAAAGATCTAAAGGCAAACAATATTTAAGTAAGACCTCAGAGACTGCGTTAAGTTTTATAGCCCTGTCCATAATGAATATTATGCCTGGTAAATACAGGAGCAGCAAAACTGTGATCACAATTCATGAAGCTTCTTTTGTAGGTATCTCATAAAGTACTATCAAATCTTCATTCTTTTTTAAAAAGTGAAAAACATGTTAATTTTCCAAAATATAGTCATTCTAAAACAATAACTGGTGTCTGTCTCCTTTTCAGACAGAGAAATTGTGATTGTGCAGGGGGATGATGGCCTTAATTTAGTCCTCACTGATAAGTACTTTTAAGACTAAATATTCTTGAAATTGCACTTATTTAAATTACACTCAAGTTCCATGTAAATCTAAAAAAAGATTATGGGGGGGGGGGGATAATTTTAAGGGGACTAGCAAGCTATCAGCAAGCTATCAGAATATTGCTCTATTATATCTCTTCAGATTTTTTCCATTTTTGAAGTCAAAGAATTATTGGCATTTGAGAACATTTTCTAGAAATCTGTTTGATATATTACAGGCCCTAGAAACCATTACTGTTGTATATACTCTCAGCTTCACTACAAGCACATGCCCCAAGACACCAAATCAGAGAGTTGAGGGTTTTATCAACAAACCAGGACCAAAAGGAAGCTGAAAGAAGGGTTCTTTTACTGTGTTTTCTACAGGTCTCACTGATTGTCCCACTGAAAACTAAAGACCTATCTGTGCAACTTGCTTTTCCAGTACAGTGGGAGTAGCAAAAATATTTTCTTCCCAATTCCCAGTGAGAGCTTTGTTTTCACCCTGCTAGACCATGTGTTCAGTTTTATACCCTACACCTCCTCAGTGTAAGAAAATTCTTGTACAGTGAAGCAGTAAGATCCTGTCTTCAGGCTGAATACAAATGTTAGTTAAACCACCGGTGCCTTTTAAGAAAACCTTGATATAATTTCCACTCTTAGTAACTGTGGGAATTATACATTTTTCCTGTCTTTGTGATAACATTGCTGTGTATTTCAGTAAGCACACTTGGGCACATAGCTTAATTATAAGGCAACAGACTTTACATATCTGTGCTGAAAACCAATTAGAAATCGCACTCTTTGTTTTTCAATAACCTAAAGTGAATGAGAAACTGAAGAAATATAGAACAGAGAAGTGACCTACCGTGGTTGTCTTTATCCGTCCTCCTGGTTGCGTACAGGTCCAGCCTGATTTATTGATTAGCAAATCACAGCCTTCTCCTTCTAAACATGGAAGCATTTCACACCACTGTTTTGTTTTGATAATTCGTGCTATGGAACAGAAAAGAAAAAAAAAAAACAACAACCAAAAACAATTGGCAGGAGAATTCACATTTCACTTATCTCTAAACACTTTCTCATTTGAGTTGTCTATTTTCATCATCTGATAATGCAGCCATAGGTTATGATGTAGACAGCCCTAGGCAATTTACAGAATTATTTACAACACCTGCTGTGCCAACAAATTTCATAATAAAAATAGAACTTAAAAAACAACAATAAAACAAAAGACAGCGCTGTTGTAGATCGAAAGAACATAAAAGTTAGCTACTTTTCTAATTAATTGCATGCTTCTTACAGTCAAGGAAATATTGTTGGGGGGGGCTAACAACCCAAGACTTACTATCCTAACTAATCATTACGGCAGCCTAAAAGTGACCTACGACTGGGATCCATTGTGTTAGACTCTGTACAAACCTGAGCAGACACTCCTTATCCTGAACTGCTTCCATTGTAAATAGACACGAGACACACACTGGATACAGAAAAGCTATAATAAATAGGTAGAGGGGTCAACATAATGACAGAAATTGTGAAACTGTGATACTTGCAATGGTAGGGGCATAGTTAGGGGCAGGAACTAGGAACATAAGAAGGACAGGTGTTGCATGAAGTAAAGGTTGGGAAATCATAGGGAAGGAGACAATAAGCAGAAGGAAAAGACTGGAACACCCTATTACGACAAGGGAAAGGAAGTCTAGCCAGGAAGGTCCCTAACTGAAAGGTGGTGTGTTGCGTGCTTTGCAGCTCCTCTTAATGCTTGTGTCTCTGGTAAGCTGGTTCTGCAAAATTTCCTCAAGGTCACACACAGCAAGTAGTCTTGGAACCACAGAGCTCCGACTCCATTAAAGTAGATGCAGAGGAGCTGTAGGGAGCAATTTTTCTTCAAGGCAGGGAGAAAAGGGGCTTTAATTCCTGTAGGCTTCTTTCTGGATTATACTACTACTTCTTTTGAGTTCCTATCTGTACTATCTGGGTTCCTTCTCATAGAATATTAAGCAATATGACTAATATCTACTATTTTGTTACTCTTTCACTGTCCCCCTGTAGGGAAAATTGTAGGGTGGAGTGTTAGTTTGGGATACTTTTTATAAAATACATATACAGAGATGCACTCACTTGCATGGTGCCATATAGTAATGCAAAACAAGGTAAGAGCCCCCAATCAATCTATCTATCTTTTGCTCAGACTGTAAGGCTCAGAGTCCACAGAAAATGGTCCTCAGTTCCTTCAGAGATCATCTCAGCAATCCTGAGCTAGACTATAAGAAAGCTTCACCACCCCAATTTGTACATAAGTGTCCTGGGATTCAACGACAGAATAAGTTCCACATACAGGGACACAGATCATGTCTTCCTCTCTGTTGATGTGTGACACCAATACACACAATGTATCTTCAACAGTCATGAGTCCAACAAAAAGAGAATTACAGGAGAAATACTTAGCAAGATAAACATACAAGAAGCTTAGGATGCTCCAAATTAATTTTGGGTCCAAGGAGCTTAAAAGCAGCATTTATACCCAGTGGCAGTTGCAGCTTTTTATGCTCACCTGAACATGTGATTCAGCCTCCCTATGCCCCTGACGTCCTCTGTCTGGAACTACTTAAGAATACATTCCCCAATGCCACTGGATCGTGGCAAGAAATAGAAGTGCAATTTAAAGTCTTTTAATAAAATCCTTTCCAATATTTTGACATGAAACAACTTGTGTCCTCAGTCCCAATACAATTGTTGGTAAGCTCTAGCAATATAATGAACACCGATTTCTTTCAGTGGAAGCTCAATCTGAAATTCATATTAAGATTTTCATTATAAAAAACACTTTAGCTCCCAAACGTCTATATAGGAATTTGCACTGTTCATTAGGCAATATATATATTGCTGGAGGAATGACTCCCAAACAATTTTCATAACTACAATTTTTTCAAGCAAATCCACTAAGTTTTTATAGCACATAATACATGGAAATCTGGATTGTGCTTCGGGTCCATAGGTACTGCTCTACTGAGAACTGGATCATATCCATTTTCAAGGCTAACATCTCCTATGTAACAGATAATAGCCTCATCCTTCCTGAGTGAGGGCATGCATCCAGCTGCAGGCTTTACAGAAAAAGCTCTGTAAAATGTTAACACCAAACCTCACCCATTTGCACGCATATATTTTGCAATTCACAGATCGAAATGGCTATTTCTATCAATGTTTCACCAATATCAAGGATCACTGAAAGACTGAATAGTCAGTTAAACTCAAAAATACATACCAGATTGCCTCTACTATCTCAGGCGGGAGGTTTTCCTGGAAATATAATTTGAATTAATCTTTAAAAAAAGTATTTCTCTCCTCTGTGAATTACTCTTAGTGTTTGCTTGGTTGCTATCTCAGAATGCAGCTATCGGTAATATCACAAATATATGGAGTCCTTGCTCTGGGTATTGGCTATATCCACACGAATTTAGAACACACCAAGAGTATTTTACAGAACATAAAGTCTAAAACATTTCCATGTTAAGTGTATAGACTAGCTCATGCATTTAGGCCTTGAGAATCAGAACAACCTCTTTTTGCAGGGAAAACTACTCAGCTCACATAGTTTAAAGCAAATCAGTATCAAAACGGCTTATTAATTTATTAATGACACATAACCAGCAGCCGTGGAGGTTCAGTACCAGTGATACAAAAAAGTAAACCACAGTACTAGACATGAAATGTTCATAAACACTTGGAAATGCCTAAACGCCCCCTCAGAACTAGTCCCCAACCCCTCTAAGGCACACACGCACCCCGCTCTCCCCATCCCCTCCCCGGGCGTGCGGGTGCCCCCTCGCACCCCCCGGGGCAGACGCGGGCGCTCCGGCTCCAGGGGCGTCC